TTTTACTTATGTTTCTAGCGCCCGAAACTTTCTGCTAACAGAGGTGATATAGGTGACTTCATGGACAAACCTTTATTTTGTTTGTAAGTTTCATTTCCACTTTAAAATAACCGTTAGTTACAGACAGCTTTGTTAAATTTATAATATCATATACTTCTAGACATGGAAAGAATTACTGGCTAGTAACCTATTTTCAAAACAACATAATACTTCTTCTATTGTTACATTTGGGAACAATGTTACTACAACAAATGAAACTTGGCAACCATTTTCTTCTATATTAATATTCTTAATCTTATTAATAAATTCAAACGAATTGTAAATGTGTGAGAATTTGTTTAAAAAAGAACATTTTAAATAATGAAACTATAGATATGTTGACGATCCTCTGTTAACAACAATTGGGGCCCCCCAGTGGCACAGCGGTATGTCTGCAGACTTACAACTCTAGAATACGGGTTTGATACCCGTTGTGGGCAGAGCACAGATAGCCCATTGTGTAGCTTTGTGCTTAACTTAAAAAAAACAAACAAACAACAATTGGGCGGAATGGTATCTCAATTTTATGAACCTTCGGGAGAGCATAAAAACGAGGTAAAATATAATAGAACGGTATAAGATTACTTTGTTCGTTCGTTGTTAAGGTATTATACAATTGTTTTTACTTTACTCTGTACTACTTTCGTAGGGTCTTTATTTATTTCATTATATGAACCATCATTTAAAAGATTTATAATACTTTACTTGTAATTGCTTTTGCCTAATATAAAAACCTGCCCTCCTTTATCTGTTTTAGAAATTACAATGTTTTAATTATTTTTATTTTAATTATAAAAGTTACTTTTTGACTTAACTTTTTCACCAACTTTGTTTCGATTGATATAATTAGATCTGTCGTTGACATTCTGTTATCTATAGAAAATTACAATGTTTTAATTATTTTATTTTAATTATAAAAGTTACTTTTTGACTTAACTTTTTCACCAACTTTGTTTCGATTGATATAATTAGATCTGTCGTTGACATTCTGTTATCTATAGAAAATTCCAACCCAGCTCAACAACTTTAACTTGCTCTGCTGTAGTATTTTCTTTGGACAGGTTTACTATTTTAGGTTTATCAAGTAGATTAGTATATTTGCATTTTGTACGACATACATATTTTGCAAGTTACTCGTAGAACGTACATCTTTCTCAGTTAAGTTGTTCAGTTTCTTTTCTAAATTATTCTTATGTTTCAGTCTTATTCTTTCCCATTCCCTCCATCCCCCGGTGGGATAGCGGTAAGTCTTCGGATTTACAATGATAAAATTAGGGGGTTCGATTCCCCTTGATCGACACAACAGACAGGCTGATGTGGCTTTGCTATAAGAAAACACACACACACACACACACATTTCCACCATATTATCACGCCTACAAATGGCCGCGAATGGTGCATATGTGGTTAAACTCAGGATATTTTGGGCCTGAGCACCTGAGTTTTACATTTTCTTAAAAACAACAAAATAAAAACACTTTTTACTTGATTATCTGCTGTTTTCATATTGGTTTTTACTTGCTTTCATTTTACATAACTAGAAAGCCTATGAAGTACCTCCAACGGTTTTTTTTTGCTGCTAACAAAGTTATTATTTTTCATTAATAAATATTGAACCTTTAGTAAATGTTTACATGCGATATAATTGCTCTTGATCTTTATTAGTGTTTTCAGTCATTTTGTTAAATAAGAGGTAACATTTGGACGGAAGGTGCCGTGGCTAGTTCGTGAAAAACATTGAACCAGTCAGTTTACAGTATTACATTGTGTACTGATGACGAGTTATTGTTTTTATGACTAATTAGTGAACGTTTCCAACTGTCCGCTAATTAGTTATATTTAATTAATAACTGTTTTAAGATCTTTAATTGTCGAATCCACAAACGATAGACTTGTTTTCCAGTGATTCTTAATGATTAAAAATGTCTGTTATTTCAGATTTCTGCAGATTAACGTTAGATATACCCTATTATTTATGTTCTTTGTACAACGTACACAATGTTACAAACCATCCAAGACAGATCCGTTTTGTTTGTATTTGCTAATTTTCTAGAAGCGATAACCTAGGGTTTTTCACTTTAACTTCGATAAGTTAGTCAACTTACTGCAATCAGATATTTGTGTGTGAATAAATAACTCTTAATCTTTGTAGCGTACAATGTAGTACATGTGTTTTGAATACAAATTTACCAGTTATATTTCCTGCATAATATCAATCTGTTGAATATATTTCGACGTCTCTGGCTTCATCCGATTCCACAATCAGCAAATGAGTATTTATAGTAGATGTGAAGATGTCCAGTAAGAGGTTATTAGCTGTTTTTAGTGTCTTCGTAGTGAAATAAATAGCACAATTTAAAGCTAATACATGCGATCTATTTTCAACAAGTTTGGTAGCAGCGGTCTTTTCGTATATCAAGGCATGCATTTAGCGTGTAATAGTTAGAGAGATGTCCAAAATACTGACCACCCACATTTTTTTAACTGGTGAAACATAACCTGATTCAATCCCAGAGTATTGGTTTTCTTAGTCTGACTTGGTGGATTAACAGGCTAAATAAAAAGCTAACATCTAAAATCCTAGAATATATTAATACTAGACATATATATAATGCGTTCATTTCAAAAATAAAATCATTATATTATTATTATGAGTACTTGTAATTCACGTTTTGGTAACACACTGTTCTCAATTCGCCAGTAATAAACTAGATCACGAAAACAATATCGTATAAAACTGAATAAATATCATACGAAATCCAGAGAGTAAGGAAAGAGACTCTGCTTTAAGAGTTTCATAGAGTTCATAGAAAGCAAACACTTTATATTCAGATGTCCGAAGAACACGAGCGAATCGCTAAGAAACAAAGCTCCTTTTTTTTCGCGTTTTTCTTTGTTTTTGCTAAACTGACCAGATTTCTGAACAACAACTGTGAGAAGCTACAAGAGAAAATGTAAGAAATTACTGGTATTCAAATATTATATAGATGAGCTGAAACATAGAACGTGTTGTGTTCCAGCAATAGGAAGATCCCGAATTATCCATTTGTAATTGGAGTTTCCTCCTTAGGAAACATGTCTACTGTCTTTATCACAGTGATTCCGAACTCCATTGGTTTGAGTTTGTCTGATACCAGTCAACCAGAAGAGAAATATGTGTTATTCCTGCAAGAACACTAGTGTTATGTACTTATCTTTCCAATTGTTTTCACGATTATATCCAAAATAAAGGATAAAAATGTGAGATTATAAAACTGAATGACCAAACAAAAAGAGAAAGGAACCGAAAAAATATTTCAGGAAATAAGTTTTGTAAACACGGTGATGTTATTTTTCTTGTTTTTTGTTCTGCCTGTTAAACTGCTCTTAATTTTACTAGCAGGATCACATATAGTTGGGTGGATTATATTGAGAAAAGTATCAAACCACATCTTAATCAAACTTATTGTAAACACGGTGATGTTATTTTTCTTGTTTTTTGTTCTGCCTGTTAAACTGCTCTTAATTTAACTAGCAGGATCACATATAGTTGGGTGGATTATATTGAGAAAAGTATCAAACCACATCTTAATCAAACTTAGTAAATGTTAATATAACAAAAAGTTGCACATAAAATATTAAAGTTTCATTTTTGTTATTTTTAATATTTTGTTGTCTCTTTTTTAATTTTTAGTTACTGTTTTATTTGCTAAGACCGGTATTTTTACGTGGTTCAAAATATAAACAATAAGGCAAAAGATAAGTAGTCGAAACGGATTGCAACTTTTGAAGTCATTATTGTTATGCATTTCCAAAACTCCAAACAAGGACGTTTCAATAGACGAACCCGATCCGTTATCTAGTTTATACTTTGGAATGTAATGTTTTAATTAAATTTAAGTACCCAAACGTCTTAGTGCATTATGGGTGATATGAGACTTTCTAGCTTCGTTACGTATATTTTCATTGTATAAAAGCAAAATATCATTCAGGAAATACAGTCATAAAGCTTATGGTGACACCTTAATTTGATATCTTACTAATATTTTATTTTTTAGATGGAAAGACGTGTAAAACAGCTGCTTCGGGACTGTGTGTGGCGCAAGGTGTGATTAGTGGCCTACTTGTGCTGTATTTAAACCTAAACACGTTTTGGAAAAGAACACCTACTGTTTTACGACATTTTCGGCTTCCGCTTCTTCTCGGGCAAGGTTTGATTATTTTTTTTCCTTTCATTTATTTTCGACTAGAAATTTTATGGAAAGAATAATCTCTGTCATTAGACAAAACATTTGTTACATAAATTCTACCAGTACAAGAAGGGTTTATAAAATTTGTAATAAAATTTACAATTAATCTGATGGAGATCGAATAATTTCACGCGACGTGTAGTTCAAAGAATTTCAATACATTTCTTGTTAAAGTCCCTTCCTATTGGTCACGAAGCGGGATGAAGAGAAGCAGGCCCTGAAAGATACTTAACCAAAATAACCACCATGGATTGGATGGATTACAATTAACAATAATTAGTCTTAATGATGAGTGACACGTAAACTACAAAAAGTCTCTATGACCACTCAATTAGGTCATCAATTGGGTATCCTCACTGTAAGCGGTGTTTTCGGCACTTCTTTAAAGGACATTTGATAAAGTTGGGCCTACTTAGTGAATTACAGAGAAACAAAGAAGAACAGTTATTTTTCACATAACATCACACACTCGACCATCTTATTGTTCATCCGCCATCGTTAAGTCAAACAAAAGTTGATACCTATCGAGCCAAGCTTATGTGATTTATAAACAAACAATGCTAGAGTGAAGTTTGACAATAATATTCAAAATGGTTCTACTCTAGACGCATCTTGCACATAATTTCAAATCTGTATAGTTGAGCCCTCTTCCCCTAGAAAGTATCCAAAGCCATACCCTGATAAAGAAAAGCACAGGTACATGTGTGTATTTCAATGTTTGTCAGACATTTTAACCTTGTAATCGTAAATTTTTACATTGATCAAAACAGGCACTTACTTGATTAGACCCAACTGACAAACATCCATCAAATCCACTGGTGGCATAACTATAAGTCCCTAAAAAATTTGTACGCTTTTAATTCTGTCAAGGTGTAAACACTTTGTGTGTTAGCTACATAATTAATGATATCCGGGTTCTTTATGACAGGAAGTTTGTTAACTTGTTGACATGTATATTTCATACGAACCTTTTCCACCGATACTTTTTAACTTTTTATGTATAGAAAGTTTTTCCAATGAATCAATATTTGTTTTCTTTTTAGTCTCTTTCTCGTCTTTATCGCGCTTGCTTGTTAATGTATTTAAATTGTGAACGTTTCATGTACGATTGATATCCTCTTGTTTGAAGTTGTCAATGGCCGTAGTGTGACCTACAAGAAGGTCAAGGTTACCAATACTTGGATGTTGATATTATCGAGAAAAGTTATCAAGTGACCTACAAGAAGGTGGACAAGGTTACCAATACTTGGATGTTGATATTATCGAGAAAAGTTATCAATGGCCGTAGTGTGACCTACAAGAAGGTGGACAAGGTTACCAATACTTGGATGTTGATATTATCGAGAAAAGTTGTCAATGGCCGTAGTGTGACCTACAAGAAGGTGGACAAGGTTACCAATACTACCAATGCCATGT